TTTCAGCATGCGTGTGGTGCAAAAGGTCCCTGGCCTTCCCGCCAATGGGGTTTTAAGTGATTAACGCACCCACGTTTCAGCATGCGTGTGGTGCACAAGGTCCCTGGCCTTCCTGCCACTGGGGTTTTAAGTGATTAAGGCACCCATGTTTCAGCATGCGTGTGGTGCACAGGTCCCTGGCCTTCCTGCCACTGAGGTTTTAAGTGATTAACGCACCCATGTTTCAGCACGCGTGTGGTGCACAAGGTCCCTGGCCTTCCCGCCAATGGGATATTAAGTGATTACTGTAGTTCTACCTAGTGCCTTCCACTATTATTGATTTTTTCTCCTTTCACGGCTAACGTGTTCATTAGAAAAGCTTTTTAATGACTGTCTTATGAAAATAACAAATATCCTAACATTGCTATTTGTAATGCTTCCCTTACTTTCCTAATGAATTTAGGGTAATTGTTCAGTTTAATTTGCACAAGAATTAGGAAATCTACCTTTCTGCAGAATTGCTGTTAAATGTTCTCCTAATAGCTGTTTCTCCACACAAGCAATCAGTGGTTTCCTACATAGGGCAAAAAGAATAAGCGTTAGAAACGAAGTTTAAAGAGACTGGCTCTCTGTAAAAGATGAGGGTGTTTGTCTATGACAGATGCAGTCTACAGGCAATCGGAAACCGAAGGATAAGTGCATTTTCCTCACGCAAATGGACTACGACTCCTGTTGCTCATGACTCTGAAGGAAGCGCTTTCTAAAAACCACCTACTGAGTAGCACAAACAGGCCCATGGGCGGGCCCAGGGAAGCATGGACACAGTGGGCAGGTGGGTGGCACCCCTGAGAACAACATCTAGGCTGCTGCCTGCTCTGGCCAGGTGCTGGGCCAGCTGTCACGTTCCAGTTTTGCCCCCATCATGTGCATTTCCTGTCACTTCCCGATAGCTTCCCGGACTGTAGACACAAATTCCAGAGCAGAGTCTAGGGCCCCGATGAGCTTGCCAAGCAGTTCAATCCGGACTCAGTGCAGACATTCACATAAACAGTCAGCGACAAGCAGTCACTGAAAAGTGACATGGCCTCAGGTCTGCAGGTCTGAGAATTTTCTGGGATCAACTGTTCTCCCTCAGAGTTAAAATGCTGGTTGCTCACCTCTTTCTGCCCTCAGTGTGGCTTTCTCATTTATTCTTAGCACTACTGCTGTTACTTTCCTGAGGCACAGGTGGATAGGCCACAACCCTTCTGTGG